AGTCAGCCACAGTAACAAAAGAACAAACACACAGAATGATACGACCCTGGCCACAATCCCCCTGGAGACAAGAAGCCTGCTGAATGTCACGCTCCTGCTGGAAAGCCGTCGAAAGACGGATGGCTTCCTCACAAAACTGGATAGGTGCCTCCTCAAAATCCGAAGGGCGCACGGTCTGCATGGCGAGAGGCGTCGGTATTGACTCTTATGAAGATTCTGATCGAGACAGACAGTGGCCAGGCTAGGAGACTGGAAACTGTTATCATATTTCACAATGAAATTGACGTACACACCGACGCAGCACAGGGATATATTGCAACCTGCAAAATGCAGGCCTGAGTTCAGCAAAATGCTTTGGCACAACAACAGCACAACTTGAATCCCTGACACGCCAGAAGTTGCACACTGCTGCAAAGGCAAGGGTGGGCACACCTTCGTCATCATCCAAGAAGAGACTTTCCAGCGTGCTTTTTCCCGTCCTTGCCTGACCATGTTGCAATGAACAGGCTGCTGAAATAACACACAAACTGGACCCAGAGCCATACCACTAGGTTCAGTACCATCGCAGTGGCACCCAGCTGAAGAGCACTTCCATCTCCATGACCTGACACAAGGACAGACAAATCCCAAGACCCATCCCGAAATCACCGCATACAAATTGAACCCTCGCCCGGCCTGGGCATGAATGTGGGAGGGACACTCACAGGCACATTGGATCGAGCAATGCACAAGTTGAAACCACTAAACACATGAATTAATCACACCGGTCTTTCCACTAAACTACCCCCGAATAGGACTACCCACCTTTCTACATCATAAACCTGGGTTTCTGCCCACACAGGAATGCTACCCTCTTAAGCGTAGGTATGCTTGATTCAGTCATAGCCATAAGACTGAACGACAGAGCAGGCAATACCGCAAACCATCAACATTTTCAGGGCTTGATATACTACATGTGACACTATTGCTAATATGCCACTCAACTTAATAAAGATACCCTCTAGTTGCCACCCTATCAATCTAAACCATAGTCCAACTTAAACTTTTACAGCCGGTGTCTTAAACAGCAGGTTGAATCAGGGCCAAGGCCCCCGAAGCCCAAAAGGGCGACAGAGATGTCGAGCACGCCTTTTATTATCGGAACCCTATACTTAGGGCTTATCAGGATTTGGTGCCGACATGGTTTCGTGCTTTAAGGTGGGTCAATTCGAATCTAGGTCTAGCACCACAAGCTCACCATCATCACGACAGTAAGCTGCTGCTGCAGTTGGATTCGTTTTACATACCCAGGGCCTTTAGTGTACCACATACCCACAAATATGAATAGTCTGATGTACCACGAAACCCTAGTTGGGCAATTATCTAACCATCTTTGTCCACACTCTCCTAATTGAAAAGCAACCTTTCCAAGCAAAGAGTCCACCCTTGAGCCCAACCTACAGTTGCCGAAACCTGTTTAGGAGTCGAAGAGCTTTTGATTTGGGTGCATCTGTCGGGCTGCTCACTTCATAATAATGATGTCACACACTGTTGATGACTGTAGATGTTGACAGATTGAGATGAGTGGCAGTCTCAAAATTTGAAGGACTTGGTTATAAGGCGGTGGGATCAAAGTTTCTCGGGGTTAGACGGGTTTCAGACTTTCCTAATTGGGCTGCGTAGAAATTCACGGTTGGAAGGGGCCCTCGTTGCACTTAGGTTTGCAGACAGGCTTCGGGATCTCTAGCGGTAGATTATTGGGACGGATGCCTACGTAGTCTAGAATCCGAGATTTGTGTGGGGTTTGTGACTGATGATCCCCTGCAGAATCACCCCCAAATCTGAAAGAGTTAAACCCCCCTCAAAAATGCCCCATGCACCTGAAGAGCTTGCGAAAGCACCAGCTTGAAGCATGCCAATCGTGCTTCTACTATAATACTATACCAATTCTATCTACAAGTACGTACTACGTACTACTGCAGCAACAAGTACTACTACTAAAATCTACTACTACCACCAGTTTCACGACAACTACGATTGCTAGTACTAGTATATAATAAAACACAGCGCTGCTACTAGCTCATATAGCTATACTATAGCTATAGATACTAGTCATAGTAGTAGTAGTAGTAGTACTACTACTACTACTACTGCTGCTACTACTACTTCTACTACTGCTACTATAGTACTAGTACTAGTACTACTACTACTACTACCACTACTACTACTGCTGCTACTTTACCTAGTACTAGTACTAGTGCTAGAACTCCTGCTCCTACTGCTACTACTACTCCTACTCGCTACACTGCTTCTTCTGCTGTTACTACTACGATAAACGACATTTAGCTTCGCGCGAAAAGACCTGTTTTGGCTGTCCAAGCAATGCCGTGGTCAGAGAAATCGAATTACAAATTTGTGCCCTGCTTTGCATAAACATCAGACATTATATCATTTGACGATTTCAATTAAGAATTCGTCTTTGCCCGCCACGTCTAGATGTACAGGTCTCTGGCCATGTCCACTTTGAGTTTCCACCACGGTGTTGAGAGCGCTTCGTACATAGTCTTGACCTTGCACTTCCACACGAAAGTTTCTCTCTCGCGTACACTTTTCGGGCACTCCACTGCCAACCGAGGAGTCACAGGAGGAGATACAGCCATCGAAGCCCAGTTCTGTTTTCGCAGGAATTGGTACATATGCGTGCTCTTCACAGACTCGATAAACATCTGGCGTTTTTCCAAACGGCGACTCATCTGCAGGACACTGTCAGGGAGCAAGGGCGGTGGTGGGCACGACATTGCGAAAAGAGGCTTCTTGTACTGCTACAAGCTGCTACTTAAGTCATTACTATACATATAGTACTACTACTACTACTACTACAACTACAACTACTACTATATACTACTACTACTACTACTACTACTACTACTACTACTACTACTACTACTACTACTACTACTACTACTACTACTGCTGCCACGACCACTACCACTACGTACTCCTACTACTCCGACAACTCCTACTCCTACTAGTGCTACTACTAATACTTTAAATTTACTACTGCAACTGCTACTGGTACTGCTCCTGCTACTATACTATGACAGTTGCTGCTCCTACTCCTAGCTCTATTGCACTCCTACTTCTAATCCTGCTTCTAAACCTACTACTACTACTACTATTATTACGACTATAGTACTCCTGCTGCTACACCTACTATTACTACTAGTACTACTTCTACGGCAGCACCAAGAAATAGCCTTCCTTCTCGAAGCCATCGCGCATCACTGTGCATGAAGGAACAAGTGCAACTTACTACTATGCTACTTGCTAATTGTACTACCAAGAATAATATTGATGCCACCAAGGTGGCTGCTGCTGCTGCTGCCACGTTGAGTACTGCTTTAGCTACTGCATACCCCCACTTTTCTAGACACACCACAACTACGAGGACGACCACATACTACCTATATATGGCTGTTGCTATACTATTTCTTGGGGTATGAGCTAAACAGCTAGCAGTCTCAATATGAGTGCTATATAGAGATATGTACATATATATATATATATATGCGACATTTTAATATATATATATATATATATAAATATATATATATAAATATGTACGAAACTATGGATATATTTATGTTGATTAGGGGATACTTATATGTCCCCACAGGCATTTTACATCCACTAGTGGGGTGTAAAACCTGTGGTTTTTTTCACTTCTTCACGGCACACGCCTTGACAGAAGCACAGCTCATGTCAGCGACTTTCTTGATAGATATATGGCCCAATATGATCGTCTTTTCTGAATTAATAATGCCATATCCTGTGCCTGGAGCCTTTGCCAAGAGAAAGTGGCTTAGCGTATCCCACTTTGCCAGGACATTACCGATAACAGACTTTTCGCAAAAGAGAGAAGCCTCACATTATAACCCACAAGTAGTCTTGCAGGGGGGGAGTCTGATCTGTTTGACGCTTCGGGGGGTTTGGGCCTGAAGGCATTGTTTCGCAGAGTCCGGGAGAAAACTTTTCCTGCTGTTGATCCCCTGGATTCGAGTACTTCCTTTGCGCATCAGCGAGTCGCTGAGACAGGGCCTGAATCTCCGGGTGATAAGGGTCAGTCTTCGGTTGATGGTGTAAGGGTTGAGACAAAGACTTTGTTTCTTGGGGTCCCGTTAAGATCCAAACATGGTCCTGCTGTTATGGCACAGATTCAGGCCCTTGTGTGTCGTCTTGAAAGCGCAGGGTTTGCGGTTCATCGCTACTTTAGTGATAGGGCTAAGGAGCTGAGGAGCCATGATTTGGTACGTTGGTTGCGCGATAAGGGGATTTACGCCTCCTTCACGGCTGGGGAAGATCCTCAAGGTAACAAAGCGGAGTTAGGGGTGCAACATTTGAAGCAAGGGGTCAGGAAGCTCCTGCAAGCTTCGGGTTTGAGTAGCTCCTTTTGGCCGCTAGCGCTACTGCACACTTCTAATCGTAACTTCCACGAACTTTGTGCAGCTTTGGGTCAACCACGGCCTGCTATGCTGAACTTTGGTGCACCTGTTGAGGCCAGAAAACGCCTTAAATCGGGGCACAAGAAACATTGGGAGCCGCGTACGGTTCCTGGTCGTTATTTGGGACAGGCTCCGGATTGTACGGGTGGACATCTAGTTCTAGTTGGCAAAAATTTGTCGGACCAGAAGGTTCTCCTAACCAACACGATTTATCCATTGCGTCCCGAGCCTGCGCCCCCTAAACCCAAGTATCGACTTTCGGGTAAGCGCTCGCCCGGTTTTGCAACTCGAGCTGTAGCTGCTGTGGCCAGTCTCTGGCCTTCCCGAAGACCTCGTGCATCCAGGTTGTCACCTGGGGGGGAGTCCTTTGAGTGTTCGGATGGAGTCCTGGGTTTTTCGAGTGAAGGCGCGGGTTCTTCCTTGCTGAGTTTGGGGGCTTCGACACCAAAGGATTCTTCTCGGGACGTAGAGCTTGGAGAATGGGTCGAGGTTGATTCGGATTTCGAAGCTGAGCAGGCGATGTGCCTGGATATTCTTGATGAAGAGGATTCTAGGGGCTTAGATGTTGGGTTGAAGGCGGTAGCCGAGGAACAGAAGGAGTGGTTGAAAGAGTTGATTGCTTCCGGCTCCTACAGTACTGATGAGGTTGTAAGGGTTTTAAGAACTTGTGCAGGCAACCTGCAACCGGCGAATCGGAAGATTATGGGAGGAAAGGGTAGGTATGCTATTCTTGGCCTGTATAATCAAGGGGGTTTCAACGGTGTAACCCGGTTTGCCCTTGATAACCAGGAATTGGTGAGGTACTTGAATAGGTATGTTGATTCGTTCGGCATGGGTGGAAGGTATACGACGCTGTACTTGTCATTGAATACTGGAGTACCAGTGCACCGGGATATCAGGAATGATATGACGGCCCCGGTTTGGATTGTAGCCTGCGGTGACTTTCAGGGTGGTGGCCTATGGATAGAGGGCGAAGCCGGTCAAGGTCCCGTGTTAAAGGTTCTTCCGAATGGGGAGACGCGGTGTGGGTGGATTCAGGACATTCACGATAAACCTTTTGTTTTTGAGGGTTCCAGGTGGCACTGTACTGAGCCTTGGAGCGGTAGGGACCGGTGGGTGATCGCAGCCTACGTTCCTCGGGGAGCTGGAAGGGTGATCAAGGATCATGCCCAACAACTTGAAAGCCTAGGGTTCAATTGTGATGGTTTGATTCCTGGGATTGGGAATTCAGGGATCTCGATTTCGAAGTGTAACCAGGCGTCGGTATCGTTTGCCGATGATGATGCCCTTAGCTTTGAGGGTTCCTGTGTTGATGACGAGTATCAAACTTCTGAGAATGACATTTCTTGGGAGATTGATTTTCCGTGTGAAGTGCTTGAGGGTGATTGGTATCCAAATGTCGTTCAAGCTCATGCTGAGACCGCACGCTTGTGCAGGGTCCTATCACAAGAGCTGGGCGGATGTTGGGATTCGTTCTGCTTTGATGGATTGTTCGGGCAGCTGAGAGCGGCTGAGAATCAAAGGGATTGGTATGAAGGGCTTCTCTGGGATGAGTTTCTTCGGGATTCCGCGATATCCTTGAGGTCACTAAGTACAGTTCCTTTGGGCAGTGATGAGCCGTTACCGGCTTCAGAGGTGTTCCTTCAAACTAGGACGGTCTCTATGACGGAAGCTAGGCGGGAACTTCCGTTGTGAATTCCACCGGCGCAGGAGGAAGTTACGTCTCTTGAGGATGTCCATGAAGCAGTCATTAGAATACAAGTTCCGGATATCGAGGCCCTTGTTAAGACTGGTCATCGGGTTGTTCAGGTTCCGGGGAAGGCCGTGCTTACGCGGAAGTCCGGTGTAGGTAAACGTCGGTTTCGATGCGTGGCATGTGGGAACTTTATCCCTCAAAATGAGAACGCCCAGAGCCTCTACACCACTGGAGTTGAGGGTGTGACTTTAAGGGTAGCACTTGCTTATGCTGCACATATGTCTTGGGTTGGCCGGACCGCCGACATTAAGACTGCATTCCTGAATGCCCCCTTAGAGGAAGGCTACGATAATGGGACAGAGGAGATTGTAGTTGTACGCCCTCCTCACATTCTTGTGGAAATGGGACTCCTTGGTGTCACTGATCGGTGGCGGGTAGTTAAGGCCCTTTACGGTCTAAGACAGGCTCCGAAGGCTTGGGCTGTGCACCGGGATAAGATTTTAAAGGCTTTTGAGTTCGTGTACAAGGGTTCGCGCTTTGTCCTGAAGCAAGCGATTGCTGATGAGTCGTTATGGTACATTATAAAGGCGGACATCTCGGATGCTAACAACTATGCCCTGATGGTCGTGTACGTCGACGACATCTTGGGATTGGGACCGAGGGACCTTTTGGTATCGCTCTTCGAAGCCATTAAGAATATTTGGACGATTTCTGAACCAGAGTGGATTGTCAAGGAGAAATCTGTAAAGTTCTGCGGCATTGAGTTGTGGGCACTTGATGACGGCTTCCGTATGTCTCAGTCGGATTACTTGAGGGAGCTATTCGCGAGGTATAACATTTCCACTGGTGCGAGCTGTCCTATGTCATCGTGGAGCGAACCGGAACCCGAGGTAGATGCAACAACAGATCTGATCAAGGAAGCCCAAGGGGTCACAGGTGCACTCCTATGGGCTGCTTCGAAAAGCAGACCGGACATCAGCTACTCTGTCTGTAAGCTTGGGCAGTACGCAACAAAATCGCCGGGTATCGTCGTCAAGGCTGGTATGCAAATCCTTAAGTATCTCTTTGACACTGTAGAGCTGGGCATTGAATACAAGCGAACAGCAGGCACAGCTTGGTTGGACACACCAATCCCGAGAACGGTTGGTACGGTAGAGGTGTTCACTGATGCTTCACACGCGCCGGAGGGGGCTAGAAGCCACCAGGCGATTATGGTGATGTGGCTTGGCAGTCTTATCGCTTGGGATTCATCCAGACAACCTTTCACAACACTGTCCAGTGCAGAGAGCGAGCTGGTGGCCATAATATCTGGGGTGTGCGCCGCGGAATCAGTCGGGGCTATCTTGGAGGAATTAGTCGCTGAAGACCTTGTGGTATCGGCGATGTCCGACAATCAAGCATCAATCCGAAGCTTCGCTGCTGGAAGCCATGGCTGGCGTAACCGCCACTTAAGAATGCGCGCGGCCTCGTGCCGCGAAAGAATCGAATCTGGTAGTCTAATTGTCTCCTTTGTACCTGGAGAGCGGCAGCTGGCCGACTTAAGCACCAAACCGCTAGCAAGACCAAGAATTATGTACCTACTAAATCTGCTTTCAATCCGTGCGAGGTCGCAGGATCAGGAGGTTGATAATCACGGACGGGTGTTGAGTAGGCTCTGGTTGACTTCGCAGCTTAAACCGGTGGGTTCAGCCCACATGTTGGCGGGGTTAGCGTTGCTTGCAGCCATACCGGAAGTGAGAGCGCAGCCTAGTGGAGATGCGGCTTTGGAGTACTATGGATGGTTTAGCTGGTTGATTATGTGGATACTTACCGGGGTCGGTTTAGCTTTAGCTTGGTGGTTTGTGTTTCGCAACGCGGATGCGGACAATCTTGAGGAGCAACCGCTTGAAGCATCCCAAGAGTCTGGCGTGCATGAGCTTGCTGGTCAGGGTGATCACGGGTTGTTTGGTTCGGATGCGGTTGCGGGTTTAGGATCGGGTTCTCAGGTTGGGGGGAGCAGCTCTAGTAATGATCCAGCCGGGTTGATGCCACAGACGGTTGGCGCTGGGGTTGATTTTGCGACTTCTCTGACTGGGGGGAGTAGCTCTAGTGGTGATCCAGCTGGGCTGCTGCATCAGCATGCTGCCGAAGCGCTTTTAAATCAGAGTGAACCAGCTGAGCCAAGTTTAGATTATGAGGATCTGGTCCAAGGGGACGAGGAACCGGTGTTTCCCCTGGCCCTGGTAGGAGGGTATCTAGTTCGGCATTTCTTGGTACAGCTGTTGTCGGTAGAAGGGGAAAGGGTTTTGATGTTCCTTGGGGATAGGTCTGAGTCTTGGTTTAGGCTTCGGTTGACCTCTACTCAAGTTAGGTTTGGAGTAGCCGGTTCACTGGTTGAGATTCTTAGGCAAGGACCTTGGGCATTGGTTTTTAATGGGCCTCAGTGGCTACTTGCCACAGAGGAATACATCCGACGGGGGTGTGTTGATCCGGGCTTTGAAGAACCATTCGGAGCATCTCTGTCAAATGTGGCACAATCATCTCATGAGGTTCCCGTCAGTGGTGAGCTTACTGAGTTCCCCTATGTCATTTGGGCTCCTTCTGACTTTGTTCATTACCTGAGACGATTGCTGGCTTTGAACGGCGCCACATTGTTGAGCTTGCTTGGTAACCAGTCGGTCGAATGGGTGCGGCTGAGGACCGTGTCGAGATCCTTTCAATCTGGGGTCGTGCTTGCTTTAGTGGTATGGCTTCAGGGTCGAGGGATGATTAGCCGAATGCTTGACGGTCCAGTGTCCTATGACGTAGCCACCGCTTACATTACTGGGCGCATTGCGCCAGATTCCGAGAGCGAAGATGAAGCATTGGATGATTATCCGCATCGCGATCCCGCCTACCAACAGCATCCTCCGGTGCCAGTGTTTGCTCAGATGTTTCAAGAAGCTTTTGAGGAAGCTACTTCGTCTGATGCGAGTGTGACTTCTACTACCGAGCCATCGGTTTGGAGTGCGAGTTCTAGTGAAGTTGAGGAGCTTGGGCAAGTCGAGGAAGTCGCTGATAGCTTGAGTCCTTCTGCTGAGGCTGTAGCTGGGGTCCGATACGAAGCTGAAGACGGGAAGCTTTTGGTTTACTATGTCGATGATGTATTAGTTGTTCCTCTGCCGGGGTGGAGCCTCGCGCAGGTTCTGGTGGTAGTTCAAGGGCTACGCACAGGCGTTTGGGATAACTTTCAAGAGGCCTTGGAGGCTGTTTCAGGTGACGGGGCAGAAGCTCCTGGGTCTTAAGGGGTTTCTAGGTTCCGGCTAGTGGGATTGTTGGGTCTTGCGTTTGCGAGTGATTTAAGATTAGGCTGATAGTAGGTCTCTGAATTCTGGGTTCGGGGATTGGTCTGTGCGCCACGACCGAAGGTTGTCGAGATCTGCTTGAGGTGATACTTGAATGCTCTGTGACCATGTGCGGTGATCATTTCCACGAGTGCTGTCGGGCTCCCTTTTAATCACGATGAAAACAGCTTTGAGTTGGTGATGGAAGGCTGTAAGTTCCTTCCTTTTGCTCTGCAGTCAAATAAAGGCTGTGGGTACCTAGTTAGCTTGTGATGATTTCCCGTGGTAGGCAATGTTTCTCCAATTTTAGATTGGGCTTTTAGAGGTCCTGTTAAGCTAAGTCTGACAGGTCGTTTGGAAACACGCTGAACGAGGGAGATTGTCCGTTAGTGTTGGACGCTGGAGACTTGTATTTCAACTATCCCCGAAGGGGACCCTCACGAATAGCTCGAGGTGATCGGAATTGAGTCTTAGCTTTTGTCCTCAAGCCGAGTGCATAGTGTCGAAACAGGTGGGAACATCCTGAATCTCGTGCGAAAGCATGTTTTCCTAGTACCTATCCCCTGGCTCTTGTAGGACCAGGTGAGGGGGAGTGCGTGGAACACGCTATCAGGATGCTCCCTGCGCAAAGGATGACACACCAAGGTGCGCAACACGAAGGCTGTTTTTGCTCGAAAAAGTTCGGAGCCCAGATACGCGATCGATTAGGCCATAACATTCGGGAATCACGAAAGTCGCCAGGCAATCTTGTCCTTCGGATTGGATTCGGATTAAGTACTTGTTTGGACGTTTGTGTCCCTGGAGATCGAGGTGGCCGCTCGGATTGCAATTACTGGGTTTGGGTGGTTTAAATTACGTACTAAATCCTAGACCGCTAAACCCTAAACCCCAAATAGCTAAACAGCTAAACCCCAAACCCCTAAACCCTGCCAGCTAAACCCTAAACCCGTAAACCCTATCAGCTAAACCCTAAACCCTATCAGCTCAACCCTAAACCCCTAAACCCTATCACCCCTAAACACCATAAACCCCTAAACCGGATGTCTCTTCCGCTTGACCGGGTTCACCTCGCCTGAGGCTGTTTGAAGACGTGCTCTTCTGTAACTGTGGGCTGCTTGGCCTCCAGAAAGCTTTTTTGTTTTAAGGGCCCTTTCTATTCCGCAGAAGGTCTAGAGAGCCTCCAGAAAAGCTTTAGGGTGAAAGGCTTAGCGGCTTAGGGGCTTAGGGTTTAGAAGGGTTTGGGGGTTTAGCGGTTTAGGGGTTTACAGGGGTTTAGGGTTTAGAAGGTTTAGGGTTTAAGGTTTCGGGTTTCGGGTTTGCGAAGGGCTTAGGGCTTCAAGGGTTTCTTGGTGTGATTATCTTTTTCATTTACTACTATTTTGATTCAGATGATGATTATGATTCTGCTTTCTTTTATGGTTATGGTGTTCATGATGAGCTGTCACTTTGATACACATTCCTAAGATGATGTTGGGGTATGATCTTGCAGCTGCAGGTATAGAATCGACAATTTTAAGTTTAGGCTGCAGGGTTGAAGCATGCAGGAAATCGATGTCAGAGCTTCATGCTCTGCGGATTTCATGGAACGGGGCAGCTTCAACTTAATCCGGGAGTTGTAGAGGGGGGGGGCTCGTCGAGCTACTGCCTACCGGAGCTGAGGAGGCACTTTGGCTTTCGAAGACCACTTTTTGGCAGTGTGAATGCTAAGACCGGGTGCTAAGCAGACATCCCAGGGAAAACACGCACAACCAGTAATACAGTTATGATCCTCTAAGGTAACTAGACACAGAACTACAATCTATGCAGGTTGAAGCTGCCTGCGATCTGAAACCTACACCCACAGCCCTAAGCCCTAGACTTTGAAGTAACCATGGAGAAAAAAGTATAGACTTCTATTTCATAATGATTCCTTTAAGGAACAGGTACCAAAGAAGCATTCAAGTATGGTTCTCCAAACCCAGGACTCTGAAGATACCTCAACCTTCAGCTTGAACCATTACAAATTCACGCGACGCCGAACTGGAGACTCGAGGCTGCTGTGAAAGGCATAATAATTGGGGAGGGTGATCTCGAAAAATAGTTCGGAAGGAATGCTTTCATGAGGCTGCGACCTAAGGTCTTAAACCTATACACCTCAACACAACCCCATGTGGTGAGAACTCCCTAGGCCTGTAGATTTCATCTTGCAGGTGCTCAGGGTTCACGGCATTCGGACCTTCAGGCGACCCTAAGCTAAAACCTCCAAGGACCCCGCTGTCGTGCCATGAAGTCGGTCCACGGCCCAGTCGACCACGTCCGGTCCCTGGGCACCGGACCGAGATGAGTCTGGGTGCCAGGATTGCCCGGAGTGGGGTTGAGGGTTGCTAGGATGCCCAGTAACCTAGGAATAAAAAGGGCTCCCTTTCTGGTATGGGGTAACTTCATAAGCAACCTAGAACTACAAAAAGGGAATGATGGTTTTGCTTGGCATCCTAGGTTAAGGGCAAAAAATCCCAACAACGAGATGGCTCCGGTCCGAGACAGAAGTTGCGGATTGGGGTGACTGGTTCTGCGGTGGCCTCGTCGATGATCCATTGTAGGAATATCATCGTTGCCGCTTGGAACAATCGCAGCTGCAACAATGATAGAAAGCTGTGTTCGAACACGAAGGAGGCCGAAGATCACGTAATGCAAAGTGGGCTCCCAAACAGGATAGTGTGGAGCATCAGCAGGACTTGAGCTTTGGGATAGCCGCGGTCCCAGAGCGGCGTGAGTCTTTCAGCATCAGGAGGAGCCACCAAGGCACGCGTCACGCGTCTCGCATCTGCAGGGCAGCGCGTATGCACGATCAACCATGTCACTTCTGATTCTGATCCGGCCCTTACGATGCCCTGCACAGCCGAACGAGGGGGCCCGAGGGTTTGCAGGGAATCTGATTTCTTCGCATATCGGAGGCTGCAGCAAAGGATGCCAGATGCCGTTCCAAAGCCTCGAATGCGAAGGCCAAAGCTCTGGCGAACTCCGACGAGCAAAGCTGCCATCTTGGGTTTGTTTCTTGGGTTCTCTAAGGGTGTTTTACGATTGCCCCCCTCGGTGGGCGTGAGGAAAAGGATCTTTCCTTCTTTGTGGGATCTAATGTTCAGGGAATCCTCAGCTTAGCTGTCTCTGAGAACACTATTCCTCCGAAATCGCAGAACAAGTTCAAAACTTCAAGCCCCACAACCCCAGGCGTATACCAGGATGCCAGCAAAACCTTGAACCCTAAATCCTAAACCCTAACCTTGAACCTCAAGCCCCAACCCCTCAGCCCCTAGCCTCGAACCCTAAACCTTCGAAACTCCAAGCACTAAGCACCAAATCCCAAATCAGAACCCTTAGCCTCTATACACCTTAATCCGAAACCTCAACCCCTGGAACAGTATGTATATGTATATATATATATATACACACATATATATATACATACATACACAATTGCATATACTATGTGTGTGTATATATATATATAGTCTTGTACCAGCGTAAATCACAAGCTCCGAATCCCTAAACACATTAAGCAGGCATGACTCTAAAGCCCTAGAAAAACATCAAATAAACTAAACTTAACTAAACCTCAAACAGGTTCCATAAACCCTGCCCGGCACAAGTCACTATTGACTCTACATAAAGCCCTATAAAGTTTGACATCAACCCTTACACTCTGCACATCGACAGAAACCTTTATGATTCACAACATGTTCGCAAGCCCTACGAAGATCCTTACAAAACCCTACCCGGAACCCTAAACCTTGAAACCTAGACTCTAGACCTCAAACCTTGAACCAGCCCAATCCCTAATCTTACTCAGAGGATCATGGGACCTAGTAACTAGGGGTATAACTCCAAGGTAAGGTCATGACTTGCAACCTTACTTACTAAGTCCCATGATCCTCTGTCGACCCCATAAACGCTAAGCCTTATAGATCCCTTTAAAGATGCCTTTAAGGAACCTTAACTTACTTTACTAAGTCCCATGATCCTCCAATGAAGAGTATGAAGGTACAGGGCCCCTACCTTTCAGGAACGCTTGAAGGAGCCCTTTAAGGCAGCCTCAAAAGAACCCTGAATCCTTAAACGAGTCTTCGAGGGTCCTAGTAGGAGTTAGGATTACGGGAGCCCTCTCAGTAAGGTCCCTTTTTAATAGATCCAGAAGCAGGGTTAAGAAGGGTCCCCTTTCAGGGGTCTCCCTACGGTTGATGATATAAATCCTGCATAACCCATAATAAGGAATATACCATAATTTCCACATATTCCTTCTTATGGGTAATGCAGGATTTATTTCATCAACCGTAACACTCCCCAGGACCTAAGCCCAGTGCCAGGCATCGGCCCCTCGGGTCTTCGCTGCACCGGTGTGCTCCACCGAAAAGATGGAGGCCTAAGGTGGGGCCCTTAATAATTGGAATTGGGTTTTGGGGCTCATTATACGATAATTATAGTAACTTTGATAGACACCTAATGGTCCCATATTAATGGAGGCCTAAGGTGCTTGGGCGTCTTATCTTTTATGAGGCCCCCTCTCCACCGCCGTACTGAACCACAGTTAGAAGGCCCAGGTGCCTGGGGCTTCGGGTTTAGGGTTTCCGGGTTGGGGGCTTTGGGTTCGGGGTCTGGGTTTGGGGAGTAGGGTTTCGGGTTTAGGGTTCGGGGCTTAAGGTTTAGGGCTAAGGGGTTTTAGGGTTTTCGGGTTTGAGGGTTAGGAGTTTAGGATTGAGGGTGAAGGGGATAGGGGTTCTTCGGGTTTTACTGGACGGTTTCAAGGCCTTTTGGTTAATTCTTTGACAAGGGTTGTGTAAGTCGGGTTGTATATTGGCTTTTTGTTGGGCTTCCAGAAAACCTGCCAGCTTGCATTTGTTTGTTGTATCGACTGCTTACCGGCGCAGTGTCCTGTAGGGCCTTGCTTGTTGATTTTAGAGTTTCCTATACTGAACTTAGAACCCTAG